GGGGGCTGCGGGGCTGTGCGGGGGGAGCAGCAAACTGCCACCCGGTACGGCGGTGGTCCGAGCCGTGCTGTGTGCAGGTGGGGCCCCGCAACTTTCCTCGGGGCGGTGCCTGCGGGGGGTTGGGGGCAGGACGCAACTTAGGCGGCGGCGGGCCCTTTGTCCGCGGGGCGATGCGGTGCGGCTGAGCGCGGCAGTGGGGCCGCACAGGGGCAGCCCTTCGCCGGAAAACTCCGCTCCGTCCCCCGCCTCCTCTTCCTCCTCTTTCCTCCTCCTCCTCCTCGGAGGAGCGATGCGATGCTTCCCCGGACGGCGGGCGGCGATGGAGCGGAGCCGTAGCGCGGCGACTCGGAGCGGAGCAGCCCCTCGCTGAGCGGCGAGGAGGAGGAGGAGGAAGGCCGAGAGCGAGAGCGGGGCCGCGGCCATGGAGGAGTGGCGGCAGTGCGGGCGGTGGTTGATCGACTGCAAAGTTTTGCCCCCCAACCACCGCGTGGTTTGGCCCTCGGCGGTGGTCTTCGACCTGGCGCAGGCGCTGCGGGACGGGGTGCTGCTGTGCCAACTGCTGCACAACCTTTCTCCCGGCTCCATCGATCTTAAGGACATCAACTTCAGGCCCCAGATGTCCCAGGTAGGAAGGGAGAAGGGAGTCGGGGGGTTCCGTGGGGCTCTTTGTGGTGTTCGTGCAAAAACTTCGTGGCACGCGTGGATCGGGAGGGTTTGTGCCGATGTCTGCATCGCCTCCTCCTCTACCGGACCGCGGGGCTCAGCCTCTGCGGGGAGACCACAGGAACGGGCTGGGGGTTCCGTCCCCGGGAAAGAAGGAAACTTCTCTCCCGTATTTACAACATCCGGAAACAAAAGCAACTAACAGAGCTGAGGGCTGCGTGATTACTTTCCGGGCTCTTAACGAGCCATTAATTCGGCTTTGATGCGCTGGAGGAGCCGGCGGTCTCCAGTGCTGCCTTGGGAGGAAACTGACCTTGAGAGCAAAAGTTTCCCCAGGAAAATGAAAAATAACAGCCGCGCACATCCCGGTGTCCCGCAGTGCCGTCCCTTCCCGCAGCCCCTTCCAGCACCAGGGCCGGCTGTGGTTCCCATCCGGATTCCCATTTCTCGCTGCGTTCCCTGCTGTCCCCGTCGCTATTCCCGTTTCTCGCCGTCCCCCTGCCCAGCTCCCATCCATGACTCGAAGGTACGGGAACCGTAAAGCTTTAGGATTCCATTCCTTGGAATTGTTTCGAGGTTTTGACTGTTTTGATGGAGACGAACCTCAAAACGGCTCTGGTTGTTTTGGCTTCAGATGCTCCGTTTGCGTTTCTGCACTTCGAGCTGTGTGTGGTATTTGCATGGGAATCGGGAAACGAAATCGATTGCAAACAGCAAACCACGCAGCCTCAACCCCCTGTGCTGAGGATCCTTCGGTGAGCAGGGAGGGGGAATTACCTACTTGCGAGGGCACGTGAGATTCTGCTTATCCAAGTATTTGAAAGCTAATGTATAACGTGATCTTGAGTTGTGCTCTGTGCTGCGCAAGCACGCTGCGGGGCCACAAGCGCCTCTCCCTTGTTGTGCTGGAGTTCTGTGCCAAGGGGAGGTTGCTTCGGGGCTGTCCTGCCCTCTCTCCCAGCAGCACACAGCTGCGTGCGGTTGGGGAGCTGCGTGCCCAAGGACGGCTCACCTGGGAGCTGCTCAGGCCTGATGCTCAGCGTGAATACCACGAAATGATGCCTCTTCCTGGGCTGCAGCAATGCATGGGGGTTTCCCTTTAGTTCTCCGGGCTGTAAACTGAGCAAACTGCCTTCTGTGAAGGCTGTTGTGAGCAAATAGAAGCTGTCCCACTGGAGCTGTGTGGGGAGCTCTGTTAAAACATGCCGTGAATGGAGCTATCTGGGGTTGTTCTTTCAAGGAAATATTGTAGCCCAGCGAAGCTAGGTTGGGTTTAATCCTTGCCCTTGGGGAAGTAACATCAGGATTAGGGATGGCAGCTGTGATCTGGGGGAGGTCCCAGCAGTTTAGGAAGGAGCTCCTGCTGCCTCAGAGCAGCTCCTGCCCCGCAATGGAGGTGGGAGCTCACAGCCCTGCTATCCTCCATTGCTTTCTGCCTGCAATACTCCGGTGCTTCGTTGGCTTTAGGGGGAGGGCGGGCTGAGCTGAGCCTGAGGGAGGTGTAGATTTTTGTCAAAGAGCAGTGATGTGTTCAGACACAGGCTGGGATGTGCAAGACAGAGTGTGTTCAAACTTCAGAGGTGGTTTTGGATGCTAAATGTGTGTTCAGGCTGACAGGCTGGGCTGGGTCACCAGCTGCCTGCCTTGTGCAGAGAGTTTCCTTCATTTATGTGAAGTGCCAGGGGACGGAGGCACGTGTGCCAGACTTGAAACACCCAGCAATGCTCTGTCATCTCCTTCTGAGTGAATCAAATGGGGCTGTGCAGGTGCATAAGGAGAAACAGCTTTTTGCCTGAGGTGAGCACCACTTCAAAGGCCAGAGGTGAAATCTCATCTCAGCAAAGATCCAGATGCTGTTGTGTGTTTTCTTACCTTCCCCCATCCCTGCTGGTTTGGTTTTGTTGCAGCTGGAGCTCGGGTTCAGCTCTGCAGTGGGTGAGGCTGCAGGGGTCCCGCTGTGCTGCAGACGGGTGGCCTGGTGTCCCCTCCTTGCTGAGCTCCAGCTCCGTGCTGCTGCAGTTCCTCCCTCCGTGGCACCAGGCTGTGTTCCTTTAACTCATTTATTTGCTAAACCCAAAGAGGCTGTGACCTCAGGCTTGCTTTTTTTTACTGCTGGATCCCAGAGGCAGGGTTCCCTGGTGATGCTTGGCAGGACAGGGTGACCCTGTTTGCTTGCCCACTCGAAGTTGCTGAACCTCTACGGAGACATAATGAGCAGGAAGAAGCCTTAAAAACCCACTCTGTTCCGAGAGTTGGCAGATGTGAGGCTGCTGCTGATGAGCCTGGAGTAAAACTTCATTTCTGCTAATTGCTTTTTCTGTGGAGGCTGTTTCTGAAGAGGGTGGGAGTGGGGCTGCAGCGCGTGCCCTCAGCGCTTATTGATCACCACGTGGATTACAGTGATTGGATTTTGGGGGCAATTTAAGCAGTTTAAATGGCTGAGAGCGGTGCGAGGCATTTTGATACCTGAATGTGGGTGGGTGCAGCACCCTCCAGCTTGCCCTCCCTGCTCCTACTCAAAGCCGTGCCCAGCGCCCTGCTGCTCTCCCCATTGCCTGTTGTGGTTTGGGGCAGCTGTTCTCTGCCCTGTGCTCTCTTTGTGAGATAGAAAGCTGCGAGCTCGAGATTTCCATCAATAATTAGCTTTGAATCATCACTCGGTTAAGTCTCGGGCCAAATACAAATGGAACGACTTTCTGCTTGCATTCAGCATGGTGAGGTTGTTCATTTTATATATGAGGCTGTTCAGGGAAGATTGCAGATTGATTTTTTTAAATTTGCATTCTCCTTGGATAAAACTAATCCTCCATGAGAGGGCCATGGATGTGGCACTGGGGGATGTGGGCAGTGGGACGGGTTGGGCTTGAGGATTGCAGAGCTCTCGTCCAACCTTAGTGATTCCATCTCCTGGATACTTGAAATTAAGCAACCGCACGTCTGATGGGTGCATCTGTGCGCACAGACGTCAGCTTGACAGCAGTGGTCAGCTCATTAAGGGTTTTTATTTGTTGCATATTGACATCTCTTTGTGGATAATCCATCTCAGTCTGCAGTGCCTTATTAGGGCTCCCGAGACGGAGATTCAGCAAACGTAATTGGCCCCGTGCCTCAGCTGCTGCGTCGTACAGCAGTGCTGTGATGCTGCACACCTGCCTGAGCTGCAAGGCTGCCAGTCCTCTGAGAGATGGGAATAATTTGGGATCAGAGTCCCACTTGCTGGTGATGTAGGCAGTCATTCGCTGTGCCACTGGGAGCAGGTGGTTTGCTCCAAATGCCTCCCCCAGGTACAAGGAAGATGGGAGAGCGCCGGCGTATGTTGTGCAGCAATTACTCAGGAGGCTTTGGGACTTCAGTGCCACTTGGAGGCTTTGTAACTATGATGGCTGTAATTGCTTCAATGAGTCCTGACAGCAGTTAACTTGAATGCAGTGTTACAGGAGCTGGCAGGTGGTTGAGCGCAGTCCGGCTCTGAGGCTGTACCCAGCACCATGGCACAGACAGAGCCAGCCTGGTGGGCTGGGAATGCATATAGGAGAGCATATGCTTTCCTGCATATAGGAGAGCAGTTCCCCTATAGGACAGTGTACCTGTGCTCCCATACAGTGATTTCCTCGGCAGAGGGAGGCTGACCCCTCTCACCTCCTGCTCTCCATCTCTCCGCTGCTCTGTAGCAGCTCCAATTTACCCCGCTCAGGTCCCCTTGCTTTTTATTTACTCTCTGCTTCTTGAAGTTGAGTTCTGTTCCAAAAGCAGCTATAAAAAATGGCCTCATTACAGATCACTGTTTACTGTGTCTCACTGACTTCCCGTTCGGATGTGCTGAGCTTTACAAAGGGGGGGGGAAAAAAAGGTGCTCTGTTTTGTAGGGCCGAACTCTGGAGTGCCTTGCAAATAGGAACCCGCTGCAGTTTTCCTTCCCATCTTCCTACAGCATCACTGGGAGCAAACGTTAGAGAGCACCCTGAAAGCTTGCTGGAGCTGGAGGCAGTGCCCTCTTTCTCTGCTGGCTGAGGTGATGAGGTATGATGTGACCTGAGGCTGAAGGCTCCTGTGTGCTCTGCTGGGGTAGGAGGTGACTGAAGGTGTTGGATGGATCCTGCAGGCTGTGCCAAGGAGCATAAAAAGCAGTGAGGATGTTTTTTTTCCCCCTGTTGAATGATAGATGAGAGTTAAATACCTGCTTTCAATACAGTGCAGGAGCAATCTTGTGAATAGTTGCCTCGAAAAACACAAAGCCCCAAAACTCAGGCTGTTCTGTCACTCTTCCATTTGGGACCAAGCTTGGAAGCTGCCCTTTCTCTCAACAGCAGGCTGACGAGCTGCAAGAATTGCTTCATTTCTGCATCCTTGGTGGTGTCCCATTGGGCTGGGGTACCACCAGGCAACAGACATCGTGGTGCTTGGTTCCTGCAGGAGATAAACTGCTGTTCTGCAGTAGTGATACTGAGCTGCTTGGCTCTGTCTGGTCCCAGTGCTTGAGTGAGACATTAGGCTGCAGGATTTGAGGCTTTTGCTGGACCAGGCCAGGTGTGCACCAGGGTTACACAGTGCTGAGAGGAATGGCTGTGCAGCCCTGGGGGGCTGAGCATCACCTCCTGGGTTTTGCAGACCCGATGCTTCCTTCTGCTCCTCCGCAGCCAGACGGAGCCCAGCTCTTGGCTGGGACAGAAATGTTGCTTCAGACTGACCCCAGGGCGAATTGTTGATCTGCTGCTTTGTCCATTCTTAAAGAGACAGAGCTCTTTTCTCAGCGCGGCTTTGGAGCCCTCGTGCTGCCGTACTTCTCCGTTCAAATTCTTCTGAGCTGAGCCCTCCCGAGGGATTCTCTCAAACTATGCTGATCCCGCAGCTCTGTTTTCATTGTTAGTTATTTATTTTGAGCATGGACGCACCTTCCTACAGCTGCATGACTGCTTTCTTCCTCCCTCATGCAGGCTTGGCCCTCAGTTGCATCCTTCACCT